CTTTAGGAGAGGCGTGAAGAAGCATTTTTGCAGGCCGGCAAGGTGAGAATGGTTGGTGTGGCAGTTTATAACTGCTGTACCAGTTATCTTCGCATTTGGACTTTATCACCACTAAGCAACAGGTGGGGTAGAGTCATTTGCCTACCTGGCTATATATATAAAAAAACAGCTAACTAAAGCATAATGTTATTACATTGTAGGATAACCATGAAACACCCCAACATTATGATTAATGTTCGGTGAAAATATTACAGTTATCCGTCATTTTATCCAATATTCATTCCAGTCATATATGGGGTAATCAAAATGATATTAACGGAACTGGGATAGAATCGTTAATGAAGGAACCATGGTTACACACACATTGGCGGCATTCACACATTCGCGTATGTTCGGTTGTGCAAATTAGGCTGAAAAGCTCGCTAGTTTTAAAGTTTGTTAAAAGGGTGACAAACGAGCGTATGACATATCACGCTCAACTATGCGGAGTGAGAGGGATGGACTGCTGTCGAGTTAGCGGGTAGCGGGTGCGATTGGCAGTGTGTGGCCCTGCTAGAATACTAGCGCTGCTGTGACACCTATTGTGGCGTGTTGCGGCAGCATTATGCTGAGGCAGGGTCTTGATTGACCATATAATAAAATAGATAATCTGTTTATGTTTCTTGTTTTTACTCTATTCATTCATTTTAATTCTTAAAATGTTATTTTTTTGTATGTTGTTTTGTGATGTAACGTGGTCAATAAAATGATTCTCTTGCTCTCTCTCTCCCTCCCCCCCCCCCTCTCTTTCTCTGTATGGCCCGCCCGGTGGTAAGCGGCACCACAGTTATAAACTGCATTACCAAAAATATCACTGGCACCGTTGCCTACCCTGACCCAACCCCATACCCCGTGGAGCCCTGGAAACTTATTTACTATTAGAAACACAACACCACCAAAAGGAAATGTATGTAATTTTACTGCAGAATATGTATATTGTAGACGGGTGCTCCAATTTTTAGAGATACATTCGCTATGCTAAGGCATAAGGTAAGCCTCTCTAAAATATTAATAGTTCCTTTAAATTTGCCTGTAAAAAAAGGTAATTGTACAGTGGTAAAGACGACAAACTTACTCCACTTAAAATTAGTTGAGGTGAGGTAAATTGCTGTGCCTCATTTAAAAATAGTTCTCTAATATTATTGACTACAAAAATTGTTGTTTTACTTACGCACTTGCTAAGTAGTTGCTATGATTTTTTTGTAATATGTACCTTTACTATGGTAAATAAGGGATATGGGACAATGAACGGCAGTGCTTGAAAGGCGGATTAAAAAACAGTGCAAAATTAAGGGAACAAAAAGAACAGAAACTTACAATTATTGTTCGTTGTACATGATAGCTGATATTAAGAAACATGAGGGCTCATTTGATATTAAATGACAGACACACGAGTGTTTTGAGGGGATTCAATTTTCCCTGAAATTGCTACCGCTGTTTCAAAAAGCTTTTTTACTTTAGAAACTGTGTGTTGGTTTACGAACAGAATGCAATTGTTTAAAATTGCGGCACATACAATCTTAAATAAAACTTTTTTGATTACACTACACTCACTCATTTTACCACTGTCGCAAACTGGTTATTAAAAAACTTCAGTTCTATGTTCGTGCATGTGTAAATGCAGTCTTAAAGACAAGTGAGTGGTTATGTGGATCATAAAATACATCATCTTGGCATTAAATGAATAATCATTCTAAGCGTAGTAGCACGAATACTTAAACGATAACACATCTCGTATTACGCGTGATATGTTTTGAGATGGAAATAATGCCTTTAATTATAATTAAGTTCTCATTTATAAGGTATTCTGTTTTATCAAGTTGAAAGACTTAAGTAGCGTACATACTGATTGTCTGGAGATGAGTATGCTTAGCTTTTAAGAAGTAATGAGTACGAATTGGAAGACGTCTTTTGTAATAATTATAAATACCTGCCGCCCTTATTAATAACAGGAAGGAAGCTTAGAGTAGTAACGCCGTGTTTTGTTCATGTCACTCAAGTGTAGGGTTGTTAGATGCTGGCTTATTAGTTCCATCAGTTCAATAAAGCATCAAATCAAACCCCCCATCACACCCCAGAATCAAAACATCAAGCAGGCCAGTGGTGTCATTCGTTATTAGTTTATTTTGTTACGAAACTAGCACATTATCGAAATCCGGGACAATATCGTCTTATTACTGGACACGGGCAAGAAACAAAATTCCGGAACAATGCCGGATTTCCCGGCCATCTTGCAAGCCTACTCAAGTGCTCTTTGTCATTCAATGAACAGAGACAAAATATAGATTTACTAATCTAAAGCTTATTCTTTGTTTATTCATAAGTTAAAAAAGTAATCAATCAAAATCATTTATTCAATTTAGGCTGCTACAAGCCCAAGGATGCCTAGAAGCTACGCGATCGGTTCATAAATCTACGGCGGGAGACCTTGTACCGAGAAAAACCGGCAAGAAACTCAGCAAGGGCTGTTTTTTTCTCCCTGTTTTATCATTTACAGAGTCGTCAAGTTTAAAAATGACTTCAGAGATGATTCATGAAGTCACCCTTTATTACATAATGTGAAATTATGCATTAATTGTTCACCTGCACTTTGATTGCTGTGTCACACAGAATAAATAAAAATAAGTCGAAAATTCACTTATCATTTTCCTAAATGATAAGTGAATTTCTATGGCCTTCCTAGGCCACTTTTTAAATTTATTTTATTTTCATAGTCTGTTGTAATACAGCTTCTTTGAGTTCATAATGTATAAAATTAGTGATTATGTTCTCGAGTTTGTTGTTCATGGCTTCTGATTAATCTTGTCTAAAATAACATATTATGTATAATAATATTATAAAGAGTAGTATTATAGATTATTTAAGAAAATCCGTATGAAAACATAGATTATGAAACCCAACGTTAAAAAAAAAATACGAAAAAAAAATCATATATCGCGTACGCTGCGGAAGTCACAGGCAATAGAGCAAAATGATGTACTAAAGTTTTATAGAGGACATCACCTTTAAAAAAAAAGTTCGCGATACCATAATATATCTGTCTATTACAGTAATGTCACAACAATAGGTCCCTGCGGTTTCACCCACGTTAATTTAAGGAATAGGTTATAGTGAGTCAAACTTAAAAGATAGACATTATGCTGTCGCGAACATTTTTATAGAAATTTTAAAGGGAAACAATTCCGTCGCACATGATTTTTGTGTAACTTTATCCGTTTATTTAGTGCACGCAACGGAAGCTCACAAATGGAATATTTTTACCCGTTTCTGCAACATTTTTCATTGATGCTCCGCTCCTACTGGCCCTAGCGTGATGTTACATAGCCTATAAACTTCCTCAATAAATGCACGATCCAACACAAAAGTAATTTTTAAAATCAGACCAGTATTTTCTGAGATCAGCGCGTTCAACCAAAAAACAAACTCCATTTTTATGATATGAAAGGTTGTGGAGGTTTATAATTATACTAGCTGACCCAGCGAACTTCGTACCGCCCTAAAAAAATAGGGGTTGTCCAGCGGACAAAATTGTGAATCTAAACCATTCTCAGATCCCCATGAACACACACAAAAGATTTCATCAAAATCGGTCCAGTCGTTTAAGAGAAGTTCAGTGACATACACACTCACAGAAGAATTATATATATAAAGATGAAGAAAGTGATAATACAAACCTGAGAACAAAAACCGTAGTCTACACTACAGCTCTACACCGAAGCAAAGCGAGGACGGACCACAAGTTTTTTTGAATAAATTCAAAGCTTTCTTCACTCCTCCATCATTTTCATTGTACGCAAATACCTTTATTATGTTAAAAGGGTTGCAAACAAGCGTATGACCCGCCGAATCCCCTACCCCATGAAGCCCTGAAACCTTAATCACCGACAGGAATACAACACCACCAACAGGTACTGTTACTTTACTATGATTTATTTTATTTATTCTTTATGCACAAATGTACAATGGCGGACTTAATGCCGTAATAATTGTCTACCAGTCAACCATAGGATGTTGTGGAGATTATTAGTGGTAGGGTGCACAACTGAGGTGGGAATCACATTGAAAGAAAATTTATAAAAATAATAAATATAAATAATAATACATAAACATACACAAACATAAATTAATATATTTAAATAAATACACAAATACATACATACTTCCAAAATAAATACAAAATAATGACGACAAACCACGCATCGAAACGCCTGTTCTAATAAAAAGCTTCGTAGTTTGGTTTTAAAGGTATATTTACTGGGGGATATTCTGATATCTAGCGGTATCATTCCACAAAAGTATCCTTTTTACGAAGAAGGAAGAGTGAATAATATCGGAGCAGTGTGATGGAACGATAAGTAAACGATTAGAAGAAGATCGAAGATGCGGGTTCGAGTCCCGTCCGCTGCCTGGTCCGCGTGGATTCTTTTTTCTAGTAAAACTTTTCTTTAGATTTAAACATCCAGCAGTTAAATGCTTAAAGAATAAAAACATTACTATGATTGCTTTTTCTTCTTTCAAATGTTTAATACTTGAAAAAGTATTCATTTGACATTGTGGGTTACCTACAATGCGAAGAGATGGCGCTGCCTTGCAGCTTAAGGCTAGTAAAATTTCGACGCGGCCATCAGGGCCGTGGTAATATAATTGGTCAGTGCATTCGCCCGGATTGCGAAGGGTGCGGGTTCGAGTCCCGTCCGCTGCCTGGTCCGCGTGGATTTTTTTCTAGTAAAACTTTTCTTTAGATTTAAACATCTAGCAGTTAAATGCTTAAAAAAATAAAAACATAAAGATCGAAGATTTTTGCTATTGTGATCAGCCAAGGTAGAGGTTACTTCCCCAGACGGGCGCTCCAATTCGCCCCATGGCTTACCTCACTCTCCTTCGTGCGCCAAGAGTGCTTAGGGGTACAGAATTAAACGTTCACGTATCATAATAATTTTTAATAATTTTCTGATACTCACCCCTATATGCTGACCGTCGATAAACAACTGGGGAATCAGGATCTGCTCGCTCCTCATTCTGTCCCTGATCTCGTCCTGGTACTCCGTGCTCATGAAGACGTCTCTCTCCTCGTACTTCACCAACAGGTTCCGCAGTATCTTCTTCACCAGCACGCACCGTTGGTACGTGCCTCTGACGATGCCCATTGTTGTGGTATATACCACCACTTTGCCGGCGTCCTTTTCCTTGTAGCTCTGGAAGAATAAAAGTACTTTGTTTAGTTTAAAAATAATTAAAAAGTAAATAGTTTTATAAAATATCGAATGGCACTACATTGTCAAGATTAGCTGTAAAATTAGTACATCCGTTAAATCCCAGCAAGTTGCGGACTGTCTTTTTATTTTGTAAATGATTTTTGTTAAATTTTATAGCAAAAAAATACAGTTGATATGCTTTTAATGATACGAAGGATACCTACTTTTTTTAAATAAATATAGTTTGCAAGTGTAAGCCCATTGTTTAATATAAAATAATTAATAAAATATTGTACCTATGAATGACATAAGAGCGCTAGGAAAGTAGAATAGTCAGCTTTTTTATAATCTAGCAGACTTTAAGATCAAGCAGTTCAAAACACAGTAGCTAAGTAAGCGCCATCTACTAAAAGTTGCTCGAACTAGTAACAGTTACATGACAAACAGAAAGTGGGGGTCACCATGCTTTCTTAATATTTTCTGTTACAAAGCGTTCACCAGATGCCGTTGTAGGCAATTTCAATCCAACATTTATGTGTTTATTAATATCACACACAGAATCTATAGTTTGAACGTAAGGTACCTATTACATGGCGATGGTAATTATTATTAATTAATTACATCGCTTCCTTTTAGGAATATTTCCTCAAGCTGGACTCTGCCTGATCTTTTTATCTGTTCATTACTTTGTATTGTATTTTATAGTTTCCATACATACTTACTATATTTTATATTCTTATATTTACGTTTATTTATTTATTTTTACAATGCACCAGCCCGCTGTTTCTTCTATTCTCATAGTCTGGTAGAGATTGCTACCTTAGCAATAAGACTGCCCTTTGTGTTCGCATTCCTGTGTTTTATGTTTTATGTATTTTGTGTAATACTACATTATAGAATGTTCTTTCATTCATTCATTCCATACCTTATGTGTCGGTCAGATTTATTTTTAACTGAAAATGTAATGTTAGTAAGATGGATGAACGAGCATGAAATGCCCACCCCCTTTAAGGGGGTTGAAACGTATTTATATTTTGTAATAATACATTAGCTTCGTCAACAATTATTATGCGTACCGGAGACAATCAATAAAGTAAATTTGTCAAGTCTACACGATTGAAGCGAATGTTGATCGTTTACAGCGTCAAGCCAACGCGGCAAGCGATCAATATACGCTTCAATCACGTCACGTCTCCAGGACGCATTACAAAACTATCATTTTAACTACCTATTAAATTTATAGTTGTTTGGATTTGGTAACCTATATATATATATATATATATATATATATATATATATATATATATATATATATATATATATATATATATATAACTCAAAGGTGACTGACTGACATAGTGATCTATCAACGCACAGCCCAAACCACTGGGAATAGGGAATGAAAGTTTGTATGAAATTTTGACAATTTTAAACCGATCGGGTTGAGACTTTGCATGCAGATATGAAAAGAATCATAGATAAATGTCATTGTGTATAATACAAGCCTGACAACAAAAACTGTAGTCTACACTTCAGCTCTACACCGAAGCGAAGCGAGGGCGGGCCACTAGTTTGCTTATAATCTTGGTCTATTAATTAGGTATAATGACGCCGATGCAGGATCACAGGCCTTCCCTGTAGATAAAATACGGATATGTGGACTACCACAACTAAATTTAACCATACGAATAAAGAAGGATTAAAAATGATGACGGGGTAGACTAATCATCAATAAAAAGATCATGCTCATGATCTATGGAAAAACTTACTTTGTTCTTATGTCCGCGCGTACGGTAAGGGCGCTTCTTAGTTTCCTTCAAAACTTTGACGTTAGCGATACAAATACGGTACCCTTAGCACGAACCAATATCGAATTCGAATAGTTTGCGAGTGCGAAATGTCAATCTTTAGCTTTGTAAGGAAACTTGAACAGCAGCGCCCCAATGGACGTAACGAGAACCAAAAATCAGTACATATTTTACGTATATCTAGATCGAATAAAAATTTTCGAATTCGTTCGTGCTAAGGGTGCAGATCTGTCAAAGTTCATGATTAGGGTACTGTTATCTGATTCTATTGTTACCACTAGTAAAGTTTAAGTATTTTAATCTTTCAATTTTAATGAATCAAGACTCGAAAATGTACAGGAAATGTCGAGAGATGGCACTGTCTCATTCATTTTAGGAATGCGACACTACATGTTTGCTCAATTTCGTGGTAAACGATAAAGATAACACAAAACTTAAGAAAAATCACACCCAATACTACTGTTTAGCATGCACATGTCAGGATTATGAAGTTATGTGGGTCACTGGTGAATGCTGTCGCTGGCCGGCCGTGTCAACGTAATTTGCCGCTTCTGTGGCGACCGCAAATTCACAAGTTTAGTACTCCCTTACATGATTGTATATTGCACACCACTCTTTATATAATTTCCTCTGGCTTATCTGTACGGTCAGAAGAAGTAACGTCAATTTTTGTAATGAAGTTCCTTTTTGGACGATATTGCGGATGGGGGTAGGCGAAAAATTTGTAAGATGTTTTCGTTACAACTTAGCGAGGCACCACTAGGTGGGCCATGACCCACCACGCGTCACACACAAATACACACACACTCACACACACTGACATACACGCACACCTAGTTGCATGCAACAAATAGTTTTGTTTTCTCCTTAGATTCATTTAACTTAAACTTCACTTTTAATGTTTTATATTGAAGCAAACTTATCTGTCAGCCATAACTGCCAATTGTAACTTCAGCCAACACATGGGTCGAGCCTAGCTACCTAGATAAAAGTTGTCTTATCAACTTAGTAAGGTAGCTAGTTTTCCAACAACTTGAGCTAATTTTAATGATAATTGGATAGCAAATTTACTTAATGATTGTAAAAATATCTGTCGGTGAGTAAAGTTCCAGGGCTCCACGGGGTAGGGGATGGGGCATATTATTTGCCAAATTAGTAGGTAAAAGACACGCCTATGAATATTGAAACATTTTTTGGAACAATTTATTGGAACAGTCTCGATCGACGACGATCTGAATTGAATATCACTATAGTATTATGACTGGTCTTCTAAATTAAATAAAATAATAAAAAATACGTGAATATCGTGAAACACTTAGTTAAGACGAAGTAAAAAATATTTATATACCACCCACCATTCCGCTCTGATCCCTGAGTGGACTCGGCCCAGTGAACTCCCCTATCCATTTTAATAAAAATATTTTTTATTGCACTGTATTTATGATGCAAATAAAAATTATTATTAATAAGACAGATAGGGGAGGATACTGGACCAACCAAACAGTAGCTTTATTTTGGAATGATTTCTTCGGTCGGTCGGTCACAGGTTCTCTAGCGGGCCTCAAAAGGCTTTCAATGTCTTACAAAATCTTTTCAAAGCGGAAAATGATATAATAATGTCCTACTTTCAACAATCACAATTTCATAACGTTCAACAGTTCAAAATAGGGCCCAGTGGTGACAAATAATATGTTTATTTCAGCACAAAGGACACAATAAAGTGCTCAGAAAACGTGAAAATTTTAAACGGTGATACAATCTATTGGTTAACATAGAAATGAATTTAAATACCTAGGTCTCTTTATTATTTCAATAGCTTTTATTTTATTTTTTAACTTGCAATGTATGTATCGTTGATTCGGGTGGAATCTTGCAACTCAATTTTGTACCAGATATCTTCATTCGATCGAGCTGAAAATTTATACACACGTTTAGTTTGGATGACAATGCATGGTTAGCTATGTGACGTCATTATAAATCAAATATGGCGGAACATACAAGATCCTACAATATGGGTCTCAAATAAAAGGGCTTGCTGAGAATAACTCGAAAAATATAGTGACGTCACATAAGATCCAATATGGCGGACTAAATTTTTTATATTTTCCTACAATAACTAGCGACAAGCTTTTATATTACCTATATAAATTGTGTAATGACGTTAAAAGTAGATAATGAAAGTTAAAAAGAAAAACTTTTAAGCACACTAAAATAAGCTTGTTTTTAAAAAGTTTTTTCTTTAAATTTATTATGATTACGTGTCAGTTAAGACTACCGGTAACCGCTATACTTTTTTCTTAGATTAAAATGGGAAAAAATATTCAAACTAAATTGGTTAACAAAAGAAATGGAATAAGGACTTTTAAATGCAGGATAAAACTCTGCTCTTTTATAATTTTATTTCAAAGTTGACTACACGACTGAAGTGAAACTTCTTTAGCTCCATCTGTTATATATTTATATATACACACAATATATGTACATAAACATACTTAATTTACTAGCTATTAGAGAAAGAGAGAAAGAAAAAGTGCGCGCGCACTGCTTTCTCTTGCTTATATCCTCCACTCAACTCCCGTTCGCCTCGCCCGAACACATTTTTCGTAACGCGTAACACATTCGCCAGCTTACCCCCGAATCAAGTGTGCGTAAAGAAGTTTCATTTTAATAAATTATTCATAGTATTATAAGAAGAAGGTGCTGTTTGATACCTGGACGTGCCTGGACCCAGTAGGTTTTTATCTAGTAAAATCTCCTTCAGATTAATAATATATTAGTTAGTGAGAAAACCTTGAAGTCCTCATAATCAACATAATTTGCTGACGGTATCGGCTATTAGACGAAACATCTTCATGTTATGCAACAGTGTCTTATGCATTATGTCATAAGAGCTCAAACTGATGCCGCAATGAATGCGTGTTATTTGAAACTGATCATTGGAATGATTTTATTTATTTTTTAAGCATTTAACTGCTAGATGTTTAAATCTAAAGAAAAGTTTTACTAGAAAAAAAATCCACGCGGATCAGGCAGCGGACGGGATTGATCATTGGAATGTTTATCAAACTGAGGTTTCCTGATTCAGTACATAGATGGCAGTAGTTTATACAGAACTATTTTATTGTAATTACTGTTTAATGATAATGCTACTTAGTACGGTTACTGATTTTAGCTATGACGTAGAATGACCAT